AATCAATTTAGAGGGTAATGTACTATATCATGGAATTTTTTTCCTAACGAAAAAGGGTAAAATAGAAATATTGTAAAAGTACCTGCTCTTTGATGAGACTTCCATTTTATTTATGTGTGTGTGTAGTGGACAGTGATATAGAATGATACTTTTAAAAGCCTTAAAATTAAATATAATACATACAGAAAAGTGCACAGCACGTAAGTATAAGATGTAATAAATTGATGTAAAGTGAATTTCACAACCCAGGATATTATCAGGGTGTCAGAAACCCTTGGTGTATTCTTCCCAAACATAAATTCTACCATCCTTGCTAGAGGGAATCATTATCTTGACTTTTATAGCAATTTTTTTTTAGAGTTAGTATCTAAGTATGCATTCTTGAACAAAAAGTTAGTTGTGTCTGCATTTTATCTAGCAGATACATTTGTTATAACTGTTATACTTTTAAGATTCATCTACGTTATTGTGTATACTGTATTCATGTATCATTTTCAACACTGTGTAATATGCAATTATTTGCCCCTTTTCTACTACTTTTGAGTTGTTTACAGTTTTTGTTAGTGCAAAAAATGTTATGTTCATTCTTGGACATAGGTTCTTCTATATATATGAAGGTAAGTTTCTATAGAATATATTGCTAAAAATGGAATTGTGGGGCTAAAGAATATCTTGAACTTTAATGAATAATGTTGATAGTGCTCAACTTTTAAAAAGGAATATTTACCCATTTTTCTCCCCACCAGCATACTATGAGTTCTTACCGCTATTTATTCTTGGCAGTACTTGATACTGTCAGACTTTTTAATATTACCAATCAAGAAAGTGTGTAGGTGATATCTAATTTTGGCTTACATTTACATTACTCTATTAACTAATGAGAGTAACAATGAATAACTTTTCATAGTTTTAGTGGCCAACTGGATTCCATCTTTCTTGAAATACTTGAATGCTGAAGAGTTATATAGCAGACAGCATATGCTAGGTTATTAAGGAAAAAACTGAAAGTAAGTTCCAAGTCATGTAGGTTATTGATAAGAAAGATAGAGAACTTTAAATGAATTAATCAAATAGGGAGGAACTGTCTGCAGAAAATGATAATGTAAGAAAGCCCTTAGCACAGTGAGTGGTAATAAATAATAAATTATTACTCATTCAAAAAAAGCTTATAACTGGGATTCCTGATAGTGATCATGGAGACACAATACAGGGCGTCAAGCTCTCACACTCTCTTTTTTTAACAAGGTGGGGGAAAAAAAATAACTCAAGAATTCTTTCTAAGTTACCACCTGGTATTTGGTGCCAGGGATAGAACATTTGGAGCTTACTTCCTATGCTCTGGCAATACACCAGAAGCCAATCTCTTTTTTCCAAAGTGTGATTTCTTCCTTTATTGTTAAATAGTGAGAAATTATGGAGATTATACAAAAAAATTTCAAAAGTGCTGATTTGTATAAGGTAGATTATGAAAACCCTTCTTTCTACCACAAAATCTCACTTCCCAGAGAGAAATATCATTAGGTTTTTTGTTTGTTTGGTTGGTTTTCTGTTTGTTTTTTCACCATTAGTCAGATTCCTCCTATCAACAAGAAAGAGCAAAAGCTAGAGGAAATCTGTGACAGATGAAGAAAGTGCCTGTGAGGGCCTTTATTTCATAGCCAGAACTGTCAGAACCAAAAATAAAATGTCTCATTTAAAAAATACAGTCAACAAATTTTTAAGTGCCAGGTGCCATGCTAGATACTAGAAAAGATATGTTAAAAGATTCACAGTGAGTAGAGAAAGACATTCAAATCAAATTTTGGAAGAAATAATGTAAGGCTGTGTATTTTAGTTTTCCAATATAGATGTGCTCTTTAAATGGACCCATAGTTTTATTTTACTGACAATACCACTAAATTACAACACTGTGGAAATAGTCACTGGATCAAATTAAACAGTTTTCCCTCTAAACAGACTTACATTTCGTGAATCAACAGCTGCATACATGATATCCATCCATCCCTTAAATGTTGCCTGTAAAAAAGGCACATCATTTAATTTTTTCCCTCACAAATTACAATTCTAGAAAAAATATTAAATATCAGAATGAATGGCCAAGATTCATCCAAAAATAGGTATATAAAATAGTTTGTAATTAGTATTTAAACTCTTTGGGGAGGATGGTATAGCTGCCTGGTAGAGCACATACCTAGCATGCACAGGGTCCTGCGTTCGATTCCCAGCACCTCCATCAAAACAAACAAATACTTAATTACCTCCCCCCAAACAGAAAAAACAAACAAAAGAAAATTAAACTCTTTGGACAAACATATGCATTGAAAAGAGTTCAACTTCGTATTCTTCTACAACACCTTTATATACAACTTTAATATCTGTAAGTAAATCATGATGCATTATAACAATACGATATCATAAAAGCAATTACCAAACAACCTTTGATTCTGATGTATCTATAATAATATAACACAAAATAGTTTCACATATATAGTACTAGTATAGACAAACTGAAAAGTATGCTGCACTGTTTGATCTTGATACTTTCTTTTCTACTTATTCTTTTCTAAATGGTATTATCAACAATCACCAATCACGATGGTTTGTTCTTGAAACTATCCTCAATATTATTGAATACACTATTTTGAGGCAATCATTCTATAAGAAGCAGTATTATAACCTGAAAACAAACATATCTAACTGCAATTTACTCTTTTAAATGTTTGGAGGGGGGTGTTTGTGGACACAGTAATCCTGAAAATAATTCTTGTTATATATTTTTTCAGTTCTTTAGTGCTAGAGGCTCCTGCAATAGTTATATAGTGTTGGATACTGTGCAGGTGGATCATCTTAGGGAGCATGTAGACATGACTTAGAGTGGTCAGTTGAGAAGTTGAATGGATTTTTATGAAATTATAACAGACATAATGGACATGATAGGAAGGTTTTCACTGGCAAGAGAAGAGTCTCCCTGTCTGAAAGTGTTCAAGCAGCAGGCAGTAAGATGGGAATCGAGGTAGGAGTCTGTCTGAGGCATACATTTGGTTATGGTGGTGGTAAAGGTTGGGCAGGTGGAGACTTGGCGAGGGTTTACATACTGTCTGGTACCTGAGAAGGAGGACAGAAATCAACTACCCTCCACACCTTTCCAACTCCACCCTCGCACCAGTGCCTCTACTTTGCTTAGATTAGAGATGGCCAAAATGGGGGGGTTCCTCACAGAGATCTCAGTAACAAAGACCTGTGCTGGGGAAACTAATGCATAGTCTGGGAGGCTATAAACTTTGTAGAGCTGTCCAGTGTCCAGCATGGTGCAGAAAAGTCAGTTTGGCCATGACTGAGGAAGAATCTATGCAGAAGAGCCTGAGGAAGTATGTATTTGCAAATACCAAGAAGAATTTTGGAGTCATTTTAATAACACATCACAGTGAATAATAAAGTGGTTACTCACTACTTGAAGCAGGGAAAGATACCCAAGTCCCACATTATCAAAGTTGACTTTCACATTCTTCCACCGGGCAGTTTGGTTGCTCTCTATGAGGGCCTTACATTCGCTGTAGTTGTTGACCACACTGACATCAAACATTTCTCCAGTGGTGTAGTTAATACAGTGATAAAATTTGCCAGCAAAGAGATTCACCCCCATAATACTGAATATTAACCAAAAGATCAGACAAACCAGAAGTACATTCATTATCGATGGAATGGCTCCTAAAAGAGCATTTACAACAACCTGGCACAGAAATGAGATGGAAAAAGAAGTGAAAAGAGAGTCAGAACTACGGAAGGACTAGGAATTTAGGTTATTATAAATGCAAACTATATATAGAAAATACGAGAATCAAGCTAGTCCTGAAAGTTTGATTTTCCTTTTTCAAAACTAAAACTGCTACCACAGAAAGGATGATTTTTAAATTGGTAAAGTGAAAAGAATTTAATAGCTAGCCATTCTTTTCTATGCAACCATGTGCACACAAACACATGAGCATACACACCTACATACATAATCCGTTTCTGGTTGTGTCTGCAACATTCAGAGAAAGTCCTAAGTATTTTAAAA